ACATTCTACGGATATAAGTTGTAATGTTGGTTTGCGGTCTAGACAAAAAAGGGAAATGTTTGCACGATTCATTTTAAATTATTATCTAAAGAGTACAATTAATGTTAATTAGAGGTAATAATAAGTAGTCTTTGGAAAACTATGCAATAAAATTCTTAGAATAAACATGCAAATATGCTGTAAAAACATGTAAATTACACTTAACTATGCAGTTATAAGTAATGAAAAATGGGTAGTGAAATGAAAATGTATCATAAAAAGTATTAATAATTGTAATTTGTAATATAAAAATAACATAACACCTACATTATCAATACATCAAAGACTTTGGCTACTAGCTATAAATTTGAAGTTTTTTGTCAGAAATTGAAACTATATTTTGGTAAAATTTACAATTTTTAATACTAAAAACATGTAAACGCAAATATTTAGATATTTAGATATTTCGGCAGCAGTAGGAATACTCAGTGTTGTGATGAAAATAAAAGGAATAAATTTAAAGAAACGGTTATTCAACAGTTGTGTTTTACTAGTTATGACCAATGGAATGAAGACCATGACACTTGCAACTTTTAGCCAATAGATTAAAAACAACACAAACGGCTAACAAACGAGCTATATTAGGAGTTTCTGTGAGGGGAAAAATCCGAAATGAGCACGTGGGTGGAGGACGAAGATGGGAGATGTAATTGAAGCAAGATTTGCGGAAATAAAATGAAGCTGGGTATGAAATATACCACAAAAAGGGCGGCTAAACGACTTCAAAGCAAAAGTGGAGAGAAATTGACATCAAATAGCAATTCTTTTTCTTCTTCCTTCTTGTATATAGGCTATAAGACCTGTTTCTTCTTCAATATTAGCCTCCTAAATTGTTTAAATTGTCGCACCATCTTTTTCTTGGTCTGCCAATACTTCTTCGTCGATTTGGTGACTTATCTCGTGCTATTCGTACTATTCTATCCTCTGTCATTCCACTGATGTGTTCGTTTTACTCCTGTTTTCGTTTTGTCACCCAACTATTTATGCCTTCTATATAGCATGCTCTTCCTATGTTTTCTTTTCTCCCTATTCAACAGACTTTTCCCTGAAATTCGTCGAAGTATTTTCATCACTGTTGTTTCTAGTAGTCGTGTCGTTTTAGTTGTGTCAGGTCTTGTCTCTGCCGTGTATGTTAATATAGGTCTAATTGCTGCTTTATAGATTCCTTGTTTTTGTATCTTGTCTTAGGTATTTGTTCTTCCAGATTGTGTCATTAAGACATCCCGCCGCTTTACTTGTTTTTAAGCTTTGTTGTCGTACTTCTTCTTTAACATCTCCATAACTAATTATATCTATTCCCAAATATCTAAACCTTGCTTCCTACTTTATTATTTTTCCATCAATTTCTGTGATATCCTCTCGTACGAGTCACTATCCGGGTAGCTTTTAGATAGTCAGAGACAGAGTTCAAAACAAAAATAAAACTTTATTGTCTTCCTTAAATTAAATTGACAAAAATCTTATGTACATATTTACAATTTGGTTTAGTCTTCTCAGTACCTGGCCTATTTATTCAAATTAAGTTTGACCTTGTCATATGAAATTAGTCTTATCGGCAAGCGGGTGTGTATTTGAAATTTTACGGGAACGTTGTATCGATTTAATAACAGCGGACGATAGGTACAAAGAAAGGAAAGGAACTCAACACGTCCCTTGAGTGATTCGGGTTAACAGGACACTCCTCGACAGTCTCAACACGACTGCTTCAGAGTATGGGTAGTGAAGAGCTCAACACCCTCTTCGGGTAACGGCGGTATGGGACGGAACAACTTGTGAACTCAATACGTCCACAAGCCGGGGTAGGGGAGAAAAGAACCTTCAGTCAACACCTGTCGATTCTCCTTCTATGAGGAAATGTTGCGGTTTATATAGCGGAGCTTGGTAATTAGTTTTGCCCTTTCTACTATCGATATACTCCTACTTCGTGGGTTGGTTCGCGCGCACGCTGGTTTAACGGTGATGGCTTGGACTCATCGTTACATTTCGATTTTTACACCGTAGTGGGTTTTGAGATGTTATGGTAGCAGACAAAACCAAATAACATCTACCCACCGTAGTGGGTAGATGTTATTTGGTTTTGTCTGCTGATATTATCATATTATATTTCTTAGCTGTTGTATTGAAGATATGTGTTAATATTTGGAGCTCGTCCTCTATCCTAGCGATTAATGCGGATAAATGAAAACAAAATTTTCATTTATCTTTGCCTCTATTCGATTATGGAGGTAGATGTTTTCAATGGTTTGTATAATATTGATTGGTATGTTTCTTTCATACAGTAGGTGTAAGACGTCTTCGACTTGGATGCGATCGAAAGCCTTTGTCAGGTCTATAAAAAATATGCTGGTTTATTGTACTCGATGGCCTTTTCTGTGATTTGTCTTAGTACAAATACGGCATCTACGTAGGATTTTCCGGATCTGAATCCTTGTTGTTCATCTAATAAAGTTTATTTATAACTCTATAATTGTAGAGGTCTTCTTTATCTCCTTTCTTGAACATTAGTATCATTATGCTGTTTCGGAATGCGTCTGGTATCTTGCAGTGCAATATTAGTTTTTGTATAACTTTTGTCATCTCTAGGGTAATACTTTCTCCTCCGTGTTTTAGAAGCTCGTTGGTTATTTTATCTGGTCCTGGAGACTTTCTATTTTTGAGTGAATTTATGGCTATTTCTACTTCCTGAAAACTGATTTCTATTTCGTGTCTTAATTTAGGTACGTTATTGTGTTGATTATTAGTTTGCTTTGATTAAAACAGTTCCGTCGGGTATCTTTCCCATTCTTTGCTAATATGTTATTGTATTCCTTCAATTCTGCCATTTCTTTCCGTTGGTTTCTTATGAATTACCATATTTTTTTTGTGTACCGTAGAAGTCGCTTTCCATCCTTTTTGTAAACCGACCCAGTTTTCATTTTTTGTTCTTCTTACCAACTGCTTTGTTTCATTTTGTATTCTTCTGTAGTTGTTTTGGGATTTTGGGGTATTTGATGTTTTGTACTTCGTATAGGCCTCGTGTTTGCGTTTTCCTAGAACTTCTGTTGCTGCTTTTTCAATGTTGTTTTTAATTTTCTCCCAGCTCGCGTTTATATCTTCAATGTCGTCTATTTGTTTTAGCTGTATATTCTTTGCTAGCCTCCTTTGGCACATTCTCTTGTAGAGTCGTTCCACAGTGATTCTACATTGAATTTTTCCTCGGTGATTTCCTGTAGGTTTTGTTTTGGTGTTGTGTTTATTCTTATCTTTGCTAGTGCTAGTTTGTGTTTACTTCCTGCGTCTGCTGAGTTTAAAGTTTGTATATCTAGAATTTGCTTTGGGTGGATTTTTATTAAGATTTTTAAGACTATAAAATAAATCATAGATTTATGCCCCCTGAAATTTTTAAATGTATAATTATACTGGATCTTATGGTCGAAAAATATATAATTGATTCTCAATTCGCTAAAAGCACAGAGATTAGCAATGAGTTCTCCATTTGCGTTGACATGGTTTTCATTAACTTATTGTTATACTGCTGGAACTATTTCATTTCCGATTCGTGCATTAAAGTCACTCATAAGAATTAAGGGCTCTTTATGAGGTATTTCATCCAGGATGGTTTGCAATTATTCGTAGAATGCCTCTCGTTTCGTTTTAGGTTTGCAGTCCCGGGGGCTATAGATAGATATGACATTTAATTTTTGGTAGTCCATTGTGATGTTCATATGTATTATTCTTTCGGAGATATAACGACAGCTATTTATGTTGTCTTTAAATTTTTTATGGACGTATACGCCTGCTCGTGCTCATTTTTCTTTCTTCACTCCATTGTATGCTAAAAAATATTGGTTATATTCTCTTTGGCCTTTACCTATTTTCTTGTTTTCTTAGATTGCACAAATGTCTATGTTTTTATTTATCATTTCTGCTATTATCTCTTGGTCTTTGTTGTTGAAGAAAGTAATGTTCCATTTTGATAATCTGATTGTGGGCTTATTTTTCCTTCTCGATTTCCTTTTCTGTGCGTGGTTCGTCATCTTAGGTTCCGTCTGGTTCCAAAACTTTATATCGGTTCTTTGAGCCTTGTTTTCTTTTACAATGGGTAGGATACTAACCTGGCTCATTAACATTCCTCTGTTTCCGGGCTTGGGACGGGCTGCGAGCATGAACGCGGCTTATGAGCTACTTAATCCACCCAGTCATTGCGCTCATAACCCCCAGGCAGAGTTACCAATAACTAATAGTACAAAACAGAGAAAGGTCGAGAACTCATGGGGAGGCCTTTGTCCAGGAGTGAATACAAACAGGCTGAAGAAGAAGAACGAAGTTCCTAGTAACATAAGATTTCTTGGAGTAAGAGATTCTTATGACCCAAGGTCAAAGGACTTTCTGTGGTAAAGCCGTCCAATCTGTCGGGTGGCATTGAGCGTCTTACACTTTTTATACCGTTACTTAAAATGTGTACTTTTTAATAATGCCTCTTTTGTTAATATGTGGCTGTTTAGAGAGCCAATTACCTTGGTTATTGGCTCTCTGTACATGGATTGTATGTGCCGCTCGGTCAGTTGTCGTTTTGACAAAATAAATTTGGCTTTTCTCAACAACTGATTGCTTAATAGGTCTGACCACTAAGTCCGCATCTGTAGGTACACGACCTTGTTGCCCATGAATTGCGATACTAAGTAGCCCCCTTTAAAAATATATCTTTATAAAGTAAAATTATACGTCCTCTATGGATCGTCTAAACTCTGTAATTATGTAAAATAAAAATTGATAATTATTGAACTAATAAATTAAGATAAGTGATGTTATGCATTACCAGATATATCAGGCCTTCACACGTCCCATATATAAAATTTATGTGTGTTTTTTGGTTGTAATCTATTTTTAAAAGTATTTTATTTTATTATTTATTATTATTTTATAGTATAGTTTAGTTCATATGCCACATTTTTATTCACTAACATTGCGTTGTTTTTTAGCATAATATCAGTAAAAGCAAAATCATTCGCTGACCGAGAAATACGCTACACTCTCAAAGCTCAAGGACAAGGCGCTGGAACTTTTAACATTGGTCCCACCTCTGGCATCGTGAAGTTAGCTAAAGAACTAGATTTTGAAGATTTGAGACAGCCACATGTGTACTCATTGGTAGTAACTGCTACTGAAGACTCGGGAGGATTTTCTACATCTGTTGAGGTAATTGTGCATTTTAAATTATATGGTAGTTTCATTATTATCCTTACAAATAAATAGAAAATATATTTACAGTTAATATTATTGCTCATTTAGTTTTAGATCTGTATTCTTTCCTGAAGTATTGTCTGTAGCGCAGAAAAGCTGCAAAAGATGTTGTGTTGAACGAGGTTCTAAGGTTCTTTAACCAGGATCTTCTTTTTCTTCCTGGACCTTGACTTCCAAATATTTTTCTTTGTAGAATTTCTTGCAGGAGGGCAAATGTGGATTTATTTCGCATAATGTGTCTAAAGTGGGTACTGTAAATACATGTAAACCTTTTAAAAAAACAAAATTAAGAGTTCGGATTGCCTAAACGCTCTCTGTATGTCAAAAGTTTTTAGGTTTTTAGGACTTCTACTCTTCACTTCTTTTTTCGGAATTCGGAATGACTGAGTGCTCTCTTTATGTAAGAGCTTTTAGGTTTTTTTAACTTTTCACATGTATACAGTTTTTTGTTTGACCAGCAAATATATTGTGTAAACTAGACTGCAGCATGTTATTATTCAAAAAAAAAAAAAAATAAAAAAAAAAGATTTTAGAAAGCCCGAACAGTCCCTATATGTGAAAGCTTTTTATCATGTGTTCCTTCCAAAAAAGAACAAGAACTAAAAATTAAAAACGCCTAACCGTACGCTATCTGTGAGACCTTTTAGGTTATTAGAACCCTCTAGACTTTGGCAGATTTGTCTTTTAATAATACAAGCAATATGCAAATTTAACGCCTGCATGTGTTCCTTTGAAACTCTTTTAAATCTTCGTTGTATTGAGTTTTTAAGTTTTGAGACTTTTATTTTAAAGGATTCATAAATTTTTAAAGTTATTATGATGTATCAAATAAATATTAAAATTTATTATTTTTGTTCACAGCTGACCATTCGAGTAACAGACGTAAACGACAATGCCCCAAAATTCGAACTACCCGATTATCAAGCCCACAACGTCGACGAAGATCTTCCACCTGGAACAAGTATCCTAAAAGTAAAAGCTATGGATTCAGACAGTGGCACCAACGCCGAAATAGAGTACTTGGTTTCAGATGACCACTTTAGTGTTGATCCGACTGGTATAATCTCGAATAACAAACAGCTAGACGCAGATAACAACAACGCCTATTACGAATTTGTCGTCACCGCTAAAGATAAAGGTGAGCCAGCAAAAACCGGAACAGCTACCGTTCGAGTTTACACAAAAAATAAAAACGATGAAGAGCCGAAATTTTCACAGCAAGTGTATACTCCGAACGTTGACGAGAACGCTGGACCGAATACGTTAGTCACTACTGTAGTGGCTTCAGATAAAGACGGTGATAACGTTAGGTTTGGTTTTGTTGGTGGAGGCACAAGCTCAGGACAGTTCGTAATTGAAGAAATTACTGGCGTAATCCGTCTTCACAATAAAGCCATTTCTTTGGATAGGGATAAATATGAACTGAACGTAACAGCCATGGATGACGGAGCTTGTTGTCCAAACGGAGATACAACCATTCATACCAGTACAGCTGTCGTTGTTGTCTTCATTACAGATGTCAACGACAATAAACCTATCTTTAAAGATTGCGGTACTTACTACCCCAAAGTAGAAGAAGGTGCACCAAACGGATCTCCTGTCATTAAAGTCCATGCCACTGATGAAGATAAGGGTGTAAATGGACAAGTTAAATATTCTATAGTCCAGCAACCGAATCAAAAGGGCACGAAATTTACTGTTGATGAAGAAACGGGTGAGGTATCGACTAATAAAGTTTTCGATCGGGAGGGAGACGATGGAAAGTTTGTTTCTGTGACTGTAAAGGCAACTGATCAAGGGGAGCCATCTTTAGAAGGCGTTTGTTCGTTCACAGTAGAAATAACAGATGTTAACGATAATCCGCCTCTGTTTGACAGACAAGTAAGTAACAATAATTATAAGTTTTAAGATTTATGTAGTTTGCAAAACGTTAAAAAACAAAACAAAATGGTATAGATAATGTCTTAACTGGTAAAAGCTAAGTTTAGATATCACTATCCTGTCTAGGGTATCTTGAATGTCGGTTTTTCAGTTGAGAGTCCTGCCAAACTGAATTCTCAAATAGGGAACCGAGTTTCTGAGAATAAGGTCTTCTCCTTATAAGGTTAGTCGGCCATAAACATCACGACAATTTGAAGATTTGAATAATATAAGTTGTGTTATGGAGGCGTTTATAGTTACTCTTCATTTGTTGCACTACCTAATGACACAATCTAGATAGTTTTGCGCTCTTAAAAATGCAGGCAATTGTCTACGCTCTATATGTAACCCTGGCGTGAGGAGAGCAGTGTCATTCGTTTACAGAGGAAGGATTTCCGATCTATACTAAAGGCGGGAGATGTCACTAGTTTCTTCTTCTTTGGTTGCTGTGTCCGTATTCAGACGTTGGCCATCATCATGTTTACAATTTCCTGAAACCTTTCTCTGTCAGCTGCTGCGCGAAATAATTCTTCTACTGTGGAACCACATCATTGTCTAATATTACGCAGCCATGAAAGTTTCTTTCAACCAATTCATCTCTTTTCTTCCACTTTTCCTTGTATTATAAGGCAAAGTAGATGGTATTTAGGTCCTCTAATTATATGGCTGAAGTATTCTGTTTTTCTCCTTTTTATGGTGTTTATGAGCAGACGTTCTGAATTGATCATTTGAAGAATATCTTCATTGGAAGTATGCGAAACCCACGATATCTTTGGGATTCGTCTATAGCACCACAATTCGAATGCTTTTAACTTGTTTAGCATTGTGGTTTTTAACGTCCATGTCTCACAACCATACAATAGGATGGACCACACATAACATTTCAGGACCTTCTTACGAATATTCATCGACAGGTTTCTGTTGCATAAAACTATTTTCCAGGTCATAAAAGCATTACGTGATATTTCGATCCTGGTTATTATCTCTTCATCAGTGTCACAATTTACATTTAGGTAACTAGCTGCCAAGGTATTTAAAATGATTTACCCTTTCGATCTCCTCTCCATTAAGAGAAATCAGACCTTGATCTATATTGATCTTTCCAACTGCCATCCACTTTGTCTTTGAAATGTTGATTTTAAGGCCTCTTCGATAACTTGCTTCACTGACTAGATTTAGTAATGTTTGAAGATCTTGTAAATTTTCTGCAAGAACGGCTGTATCGTCAGCGTATCTAATATCGTTGATTACTTCTCCACCTAGTCTTACTCCCTCTTGTCTGTCATCCAAAGCCTCCCTAAAGATTTCTTTAGAGTACAGATTAAAAAGAGTGGGTGACAAAACACAACCTTGCCGTACTCCACGTTTGATGGATATTTTTTCAGTCGGACTGTCTCCAGTTTGGATAGAGGATACTTGATTGTAATATAAGTATTTCAGCAGTCTTATATCATAGTGGTCAAGTCCTGCTGCCCGTAGGGAATCGAAAAGTGTATCGTGTTGTACTCTGTCGAATGCCTTCTCAAAGTCGATAAAACAAACAAACATTCTTTCGGAATTCACAACTTTTTTGTAATAGAACGCGCATACAGAATAGTGCCTCTCTAGTTCCTAGACCGTTTCTAAATCCAAATTGCGTATTACCCATCCTACTTTCACATAGAAGGAATACTCGGTTTTGTATAATTCGTAAGAGTATTTTCAGTGTGTGACTCATTAAACTGATAAGTCTAAAATCACTGCATTTGGTGGGCCTGCTTTTCTTTGGTAATGTTATAAACAGAACACTAGTTTAGACTGTGTATAATATTTGAGCAAGAATTGAGCCGTGGGGTAATCCAGCTTGTGGAGTAAAGGGTGTAGATAAAATGTCGCCAACTTTGATCCTGATCTTCCGATTGAAGAGATGGGAATTTATTAGTTTAATGAAAGGAGTCTGCAGTCTAGCAAGGTGGAGTTTTTCGACCAGGCCTGTGTGCCAGACTTTATCGAATGCCTTCTGAATGTCCAGGAATATGCCTATGAAGTGTTTTCTTTTGTTGATTGATTGTGAGATGAAAGTTTTGATGTCGTTTGTAGCCTTATATTTTGCTTTTTTCTATATGCTGTTATGCCAATCTACAGATTGTATGTATTGTCTGGCGTTGTTTTATCTTAAGCTCATCTTAAGCTCATAGTTTTTTGTCAGTCTACCGTAAGTGTTATCTAGTACCGTTAGTTATTGCGAGAGCATTTTGCTCAGGATCATCTGGATTTCAGCTAACAAAAATTGGTGATCACTTTCGTCGCCATTACCAACTTTTCCTCAATAAATCTTAATATCTTTAACTCGCGTTTTTTCATCGATTTTACCAGTACATAATATATCATGACTTTTGAATTTGTTGTCTGGTGATGTCGAAGTATATAATCGTCTTACGAGGATGATATTATTTACATAATATAATAAATGTGATATTTTGATACCACGATTCCAATATTGTTAATTTTGTCCCACAACACACTTAAGTACTGGCCTAATTAATTTAAAAACTCTCAAACAGGCTAATTCAGTTTTTCAGAGATAAAAATTTGAACCCTCATTTGGGGAGTATAAATTTACACCTAAATCTAATTTATTGGCTAATGTTTTTTAATACAGAATGCAAATATTTTCAATCTTTAATCGGTCAAACTCGTGAAACCTGTCAACTATTTCGTATACGCCTACACATTTTTGTATCCTCTTTGTTAAATGTTTTCGAAACAAGTAAATGGATAGATTTTGTTTTACCGTTGGATGGAAAATGACTCGATTACAGTTTAACATGCAGATAAGCATTAAGGACGAACACGATATTCCAGTGGATATTGTGCTTGTCGATGGATTTGCTCAGGCGTTGGAGCGGAATGTTACCGTTACGCTGATTAAATGCATACGATAAGCCAGATGGATTGACTGTATCTTTCACGTTTTGCGCATATTGTTGCTAGTTTAGATGCAAATAAAATTCCCTCTATTATTAAATTTTTCAGTTGGACATACATTTTTTTTTGAGACAACTACTGCGCTACATTATGTGGCAAACATGCAACAAAGTATTAATTTAGTTTTAACACGTTGAATGCCGATCTATTTCATAGAGTTTTTCGCCTAGAATTGTTAACTTTTCTTAGATTAGATTAGATTAGATTATGTGAGGTCGTTAAGGCCATGCAGCCTCACCGCACTTCGACCAATAGAGATCTTTTGTGGATATCTTAATCTAGTTAAACTCTAGAATGCCAATACTTTTGATGAAGTTTGTTAGCTTCCTAGGTGACTTGTTTCCTATGTCGAAGGACGCCAGACTGACCTCTCCTAGTAATTTTAGTCGTTTGCAAAACAGTGCTACGCAGTTGCATAGTATATATTCTGCCGTTTCTTTTTCATTGTGATAGAAACGACAGTTCTCACTATCTGATTTGCCCATCTTCTTGAGATAGTATCTCAGAGGGCAGTGACCAGTGAGAAGGCCAGTGACCATTTTGATATCTTTCTTAGTCATTTCGAGAAGGCGATTTGTTGCAGTAGGAGACACTTTTATTAGCTTTTTTGCTTGCCTTTGTCCTGGTGTGTTAGACCAATATAATCTTAGTTGATTGAGTTCCCAGGTACGGAGTTCCTCTCTAATGTGGCTTTTCGATAGTCCACAGAAGGGTTCCGGACCCTGGAATAGGTTATTAGCTCCTTCTTTTGCGAGGCTGTCAGCTTCCTCATTTCCTGCAATTCCCTTGTGACCGGGCACCCACATCACAGTTACATTGTTGCGTTTCGCCAGCTTGTTGAGAGATTGTTTACAGTCCCAAACCAACTTTGACTCACATGTAAATGACTTTAGAGCCTTTAAGACGGCTTGACTGTCTGATAAAATAAAGACTTTTGCCCTACGGGTGTCTCGGTTGAGACATTCTTGAGCACTTATGTCTATAGCATGCATTTCTGCCTGGAAGATAGTTGGGGCGTTTCCAAGAGATTTAGATAGCCTGAAATTGGGCCCAGTAACTCCCACTTCTGCCCTTTCATCTATCTTAGATCCATCCGTATACCATACGAGTGAACCCTCTTCCACTTTTGGCTCAATTTCTTCACCCATTTCGTGGTTTTCTATGACCACTTCAAAGGGTATTTCAAAGTCGAATTTGACTGGCATAGCATCTGTCGCATGTCCTTAGAATCCAATGGAATTTCTTCCAAAATTTTCAGGTGGCCAACTAGATCTCCAGGTTTCATTATTTGTGTCTGTCGCAGTTTTAAGGCGGTAGTTACTGCCCCCCTCCTTATGCAAAACTGCAAGGGAGGAAGGTTCAGCATCGCCTCTAGAGCTGCAGTAGGATATGTTCACATTACCCCTGTGATTCCCAGATAAGCTAGCCGCTGCACTTTTTGCAGCTTGGCGTTAGCTGTTGTTTGTTGTGTTTTTGGCCACCATACGAATGATGCGTATGTGACCATGGGCCTAATTATTGTTTTATAAGACCAGAGAGTCATTTTCGGTTGTAGAAGTCTTTCCAAACGTCTTGCGGCAGGTCCAACTTGCCACCAAAGCTCTGGATAAATTTTTTTCAATATGACTATTCCAGGTGAGTTTTTGATCTAGGGTTACCCCCAAATATTTAATTTCCTTGGAATAGTCTAATGTGATGCCATTCATAGTTGGAGCCTGTAAATTGTATTTACGTCTCCTTGTGAAGGGTATCAAAGTCGTTTTACTGGGGTTGACACTTAAGCCCTCTTTCGAGCACCAACTTTTAATTTCGTTAAGAGCAGTTTGCATGAGACTATATATAGTCTGGTCATGCTTGCCATTAATTGTAACAACTAGGTCATCTGCGTAACCTTGGGTTATAAAACAGAGTCATGCAGCTTAGTGAGAAGGTCATCCACAACCAAAGACCACAGTAGAGGCGATAATACTCCCCCTTTGGGGCACCCCTTTACCGCTGTCACAGTCACAAATTCTCCTCCAATACTAGCAGTGATGATTCTCGTTTTTAGCATTGACTGAATTCATTGTATTAGTGATACTTCAATGCTTCTCTTTACTAGTACTCTTTTTATGGATTTAAATGAGGTATTATCGACTGCTCCCTCTATGTCAATGAAAGCGCAAAGAGCTATTCCTTTAGCCACTATTGCCTTTCCAATTCTTTCGAATATACGAATAGTAAATTCAGAGCATTTATAGTGGATTTGCAAGTCTGGTAGGCAAACTGATGTTTGTTAAGTGGATTCCTCGTTAAAGTTTCGCTTCTTATGTAGTAATCTAATAGTTTCTCCATTGATTTAAGGAGAAAGAAGGTCAGGCATATAGGACGATAAGACTTCGCTTTTGGTATAAATACCACCTTTGCGTCCCTCCAAGTTTTTGGAATGTGACCTAACACAAGGCTTGCTATGAAAAGCCGCTGTAGTTGCGGCCGTATTTGCAAGAAGCCTTTTTGTAGTAAAGCAGGAAATATTCCGTTCTTAACTTTTCTTAATAAGTACATAAATATTTTGCAAAGTAATCTCTCTAGGTATGAGATGTAACTGATGTTCAAGAAAAAACATCTGATACCTAGAGAGAAGTTGTCAAGATGTCTAAAACTTTACAGCCTATTCAAAGCAAATAAGGCAGGATTACCATTGTGGCCAATAGTTAGTTCTATTGGATCTATTCTACTACCACTTGGAAAATTTGTGGCTGAACGGCTAAAACCATATGCAGAAGAAGCGGATTCTTACGTCAAGAATGCAAGCCACTTCATCTAGCATATAAAACATGTGACTCCAGAACTGAGATATTTGTTAGTCAGCTTTGATGTGGTCTTGCTTTTCACGAATGTTCCTATAGATGAATCATTAGAAGTTATAGCCAGAAAGTATCCAATGCCACAAGATACCCTAAATCTAACAAAGCTCTGCCTAAATAACACATATTACATCTATAAGGAGCAAATATATAAACAAGTTGAAGAAGTACCGATGGGCACACCACTGACAGCAAACTGTTTAATTTCGATGCAGGGGATCCGCCAGCCGCTTATACGTATTTCAACCTCATTAGGTATCATCAGAGCGACATATGCAGTTGCTCCGTAACTAAGCAGCTCAGAGCAACAGCATATGTCCCTCTGATGATACCTAATGAGGTTAAAATACGTATAAACGGCTGGAGGATCTCCTTCTTCTTCTTCTTCAGGTGCCATCTCCGCTACGGAGGTTGACAATCATCATAGCTATCTTAATTTTTGAGGCAGTAGCTCTAAATAGTTGTTTTGAGCTGCTTCCAAACCATTCTCTCAGGTTCTTCAGCCATGAAATTCGTCTTCTTCCGATGCTTCTTCTGCCATCTATTTTTCCTTGCATTATGAGTCGCAGGATGCCATACTTATCGCCCCGCATCACATGTCCGAGATACTGTAGCTTTCTTTCTTTAATTGTAAGTTCAATTTCCTTCTCTTTGCCTATTCTTCTCAGTATTTCATTGTTTGTAACTCTATCTACCCAGGAAACCCTCATAATTCTTCTATAGGTCCACATTTCAAAGGCGTTAAGTCGTCTCATGGTATCTAGATTTAACGTCCATGATTCCACTCCATAATACAGTACACTGTATACGTAACATTTTGTTAGGCGTACTTTAAGAGCTAATGTTAGATCTTTGCCACATAGGACCTTTTTCATTTTTATAAAATTAGAACGTGCTTTTTCGATTCTGACTTTGATTTCTGCTGTGTAGTCATTATTTTCTGTTATAAGTGTTCCTAGGTAAGTGTACTTTTTTACTCTTTCGATCTGCTGGCCCTCTACTATCAAGATTTCGTTAGTATTATAGTTGTTTTTACAAATTTTCATAAACGCGGATCTCCTGGATCAAAATTAAATATAATACTGTCTATCTGTTCCATTTAGAATTTCTTTAAAAAGTGTTATCGTCAATATTAATGCAACAGCAGTTTGAGTTCACTGATTTAAATGTTAATGATATATATTATTTTGTAACTATCGCTTATACTGAATGTATTTTTGTTTTTTAGAAATATGTCGAAAACGTAAAACAAGACGCCAGTATAGGTACCAACATCCTCCGAGTCTCTGCCTCAGACGAAGACGCCGACAACAACGGCGCCATAGTCTACACCTTAAATGCTGGTTCCAACGCTGCCGACCTGGAGTATTTCGAAATTCAGCCGGAGTCAGGTTGGATAGTGCTCAAGAAGCCCTTGGACGTAAGTACTAGGCAAATCATCGCGAAACGCGTTAGGACAGCTAAAATGTATGCATGGGTGAGTGAGTGGGTTGGATCATTGACGTTTCAGGTTATTCTGAGGATGGATCTCCATGGAAATTAGCGGATTAGGTACGAGTGGAAATAAAAGTGGAATGTGCTCTTAAGTAGGAAGATCCTTTTTTATGTTAGGAAAACAGAAACTCTACATACAGTAAACCCAAAATTTCAAAATTTGTTTTGTTATTAATTGTTATCTTGACTTCTTTTAAAATTTATAAAGAGGCAACAAAAAGTTATACAATAATTAACACAATAATACATTTTTTCGAGATAAAATGTTTACTTATATTTATACTAGCCTACAAAAATCTTTGTTCTAATTGTTTATTTAATTTTTTAATTTTTAAAGTTTTAAGTTCTTGAAAATAGTTCCTTCAACATAACACAAGAAGTAAGTTTTTTTACAAAAAAAAGCCTAAAAAATCGTTTAAAAATCTCTGGAAATTAAGTCAAAAATTTAGTTTATCTTTACGTAAGAATTAATACTAAAATACACATTAAAAAAAAAAGTAGGTATATTTTTATTTTCTATTTTAGAAGATGATATTTATTTTTTGTGGATTTAGATTCCTACTTGCTTAATGTCCTTTTTTAGAGTATGCTATGTTTTAATATCAAGGAGTAACCCCCTCTGTGGCTCAGTGGTAAGAGCGCCTACCTTTAAACCTAAAGGTCGTGAGTTCGAATCTCATCTGGGTGGAGAAATTTTCGTTTATTAAAAATTAATGAATGAAAATAATTTCTATCCTTGTGCGATCAGTACTCACCAGAGGGACCGCAGACGTTCGGATACAATTAGCGTCTCTTAGCAAAGACAATGACGTCGACTTTGCTAAGTATCAATTGTGTGACAATTACTCTACACACACACACACACACACACACACACACACACACACACACACACACACTACACTAGGTACCTGACTGTACCATGCCAATGATCATAGTTGTCGAGGCATTAACCGAATAAAAAAACTGTCAAGGAGGGTATGGGTCCGTCGTTAAAGTTCAAAGACTCAAAGTGGACTAAAGTGGCTACTTATCTACTTCCCTTAATTAATCCATCGCTATTATAAAATTTGGATTGCCGATTTTTTTAACGTAGTTTCTACAATTTTGTTTATTTTTAAATATTTAACTAACTTAATAGTGGTTCTTAAAACTTACTTCTTATAGCTTGAATCAGTAGTAGTAGTCGTCATCCGAGGTTTATTTATGTTGGTCTTATTGGTTAATATAGTGTTAATATTATGTTTCATTTTCTCTATTTTATGTTGAAGTTACATCAGCCGACAGTCTTCTGGCTCGTAACTTCTTCTTCTTATTGCGCCGTCTCCTTTTTGAAGGTTGACTATCCAATAGTAGCTTTGAAAATTGCTGCACCAAAGATTTCTGTGGATGAGCAGTTAAACCGTATTCTCAGGTCTTTCAGCCACTTGTTCTGGCGTATTCCAACTGATCTTTTGCCCTGCACTTTACCTTTCAATATAATTTGGAGTAATTCATATCTTTCACCTTTTAACATGTGACCTAAGTATTGTATATATTTCTCTTTGATTATGCTGAGTAATTCTTTTTGTTTAATCATACGCCGAAGTACCTCACTATTCTTAACTTTTTGTATCCATGGAAGTCTCAGCATCTGTTTGTATACATACATTTTAAAGGCATCTATTCTGTTTTCTGTTTCAGAGTACATTGTCCAGTTTTCACAGCTATACAGAGAAAACCTAACATTAGCTCATTCGAATTCAGAGCTTTAGACTTAGGTCTGATCTTGTATAAATTATTTTCATCCTAATGAGTGTTTTCCTCGCTTGTTCGATTCTTAATAGGATTTCTGTGTTTTTTTTTTACAATACAGTCTAGTTTAAGTGATTTGTGTTTGTATTATTACACGACGTGAAATTCAAATAATATTTAACTCACCCCTACACTGTTATTAAGTCGATACTTTTACTTTCTTTGTCTGCAATTAATTTAAGTATTTCGATATTGATATTGTTTGGACCGGTCGCTTTTCCGTTTTTCTAAGCTTTTACTGCATAAATAACTTGTTCTTTTGTACCTTTTTAATTTATTCGATCATCCGTGGATGGTGGAGAACAAGGTCTTTCATCACCAAAAAGTGTCTGAATGTAGTATTTCCATCTCTTCAGTTTGTCTTCTGTGGCTATAGTTATCTCGTTATTATTATCTCTTAATAATGTTTCTTGTCTCTTTCTGTCTGTCTACCTATCATTTCTTTCTATTGGGTTTGTTTTATGTTTTTTATCTTACGTCCATGAGGTCGTCCATAACCTTGATACTTATTTCATTTTTCTTTTCAGGGTTATTCAACAGTAAGATATCTATTTTTCTTGACACTTTTTCCCTTTTAATTTTAAAAACCTTTTTAGTCTAAAATTCGTTATAACTCGATTGTGATCGCTTTAAGTGTAATTTCCAAGTGAATAGATTTTTAGGATGTTGTTTGGAGAAAGTGTTAGCTACTAACAGCTTGTTCTCTAAGCTCCTATGTTGTCTCCTTCGGCACCACGACCTTCTCGCATTATTTCATCTATATTGTTATAAAACTTTTTAATTTCTTCCTCTGATTTGTCACTCGTGGGAGCATAGACCTGTATAACATTTAGGTTTCTATGGGTTGTTCTTAATTTCAACATTACTACTCTATCATTTAGAGGGATGAAGTCTACGACTGACTGCGCAATTTTGTCCGACACTAATATAGCCGTTCCATATTAATGTTCTGGGTCGGTTCCTTCTGACCAATATTGTCTATTTTTATTCTTGTGATACGTTATGGCCGTTAAGTTTTAGTTTCTTCAGTTTTAAAAATACTAGAGACACTAGTAAATACATCTGATGTGGATAAATTGTTGATATATTTTTCTCCCTATATATTAACGAAAATTTGTTTCTTCCTATGTGCTAACATAAAAAATTTCGATCTGAATATTTTTGAGACAGTTGATATTGTCAACCATTAAAATGCCGTAAATATTTTTAACAAAGTTATACTCTTTAACTACTACTTTATAACAATGTTAAATTAAAAATTAACTAAATTAATTAAATTAAAAAAGTCGGTCAGATAGCTCAGCGGGCTGTGCGGCTGCCTCTCATTCGCTTCACTGTCGAATGGTTCAGTGGATGTGGGTTCGAGCCCCAGCTCGGTGTACTGAAAACAAAAAGTCTAACGCAGCAGTTTAAAATTCTAGATGAATCTGCGGCTTAGACTAGGATATGCTGGGATCTGATCGGCCTATGGTGGAGCAGTACGGCAAGAGATAAGGGCTTGCGGCTTGGTGATAATCCTCCATAGATCCCTACCGGACGGGCGTAACGCCTAAAAAACCGGATATATATATATATATATATATATATATATATAATATATATATATATATATATATATATATATATATATATATATATATATATATATATAAATTAAAAATTTATTTATTGTGTTTTTAAGAAGTCAAGACAACGATTTCGATGGATTTACTATACAAGAGTTTATATGTATGTAGAACTTTCAGTTTTCCTAACGCTTTGAAAGTCGTCTTTCCATTTTTCGAGCCACTTCCGTTAGCTGCTTCTTTCTTCATCATTTTTCAGCGCACCTTACTTTAAGTTGCTCTAGTCGATCTATTTAACGATCGACTGCACTATACTGTAACTTTTATTCAATGAGTTTGTTTATACGGCACACCTTGCATAAAACATATGTACCAGTACTTTATTGTACTTTGTGTTGAAACTTATTTTTTTAATAGTACCCTTTACACCAGCACCACTCAAGGCATCTTGTTTGTGATCTGATTCAGCAAGCTAAATTTACTTTATTTGACATATATAACAAATAACAAAAATCTTATACGAATCTTTTGTTTCACTAATATTCAGTGCTGCCTCTAAAACCTGGATAATTAAATCTATTACACTAAATACCCAAAGTATCTAATTGTGATACCCGATATAATTCTAAGCTTTAAAGAACATATTGGAAAGACGCCTGCAAAATATCGAATGTCCTTGTCAGCGAATTTGGAAAAATTAACGCTGGTCCTATACTTCCACGTTGGTATTACCGGCAGAGACATAAGTAGGCTTCGCTCAAGAAACAACCCTCAAGGCTCTTCAAGAATTCTAATTAAAAGGAATTTCAAGATAACTAATTATTGGCAAGACCAATCAACAGAGTGAAATTCTACAAAGATGGACAGAATTCTTTAAAGAAAAGTTTAAAAAAAAAACGAAAATCCACTATATGATGGAATTATACTGGATCAAATGGATACCAGAGAAACAACCCCCTTCAGTAGCTGAAATGCAAGAAGCAGTTCCCAGACTGAAAAACAACAAGTCACCTGGATTAGACAACGTTAGCGCAGAATTAATAAAGAAAGAAGGAGACTCCCTATTGAATGTGATACACTAACTAATACTGAAGATATGGGATAATAAACAACTGCCACAAGACTGGAATACCGGAGTAATTATCCCACTACATAAAAACGGAAATCAACTTCAATGTAAAAACTACGGGGCAATAACGTTACTAACTGTGGCGTATAAGATACTGTCAAATATTGTATATGACCGATTGAGACCATATGCGGAACAAATAATTGGGGGATATCAATTTGGTTTCTGAAGACAGAAGTCCACAATAGATCAGATCTTCGTCTTGAGGCAAATCTTGGAAAAGATTAGTCAATTTAATATAGACACGCATCATCTTTTCATTGATTTTGAGAGTGCCTAGAAAGGCTTAAAGATTTATTAGAAAATATAGAGGCACTATACATTCAATGATTACTAACTCAAAAAGACTAGGACTAAACAGAAGACGTATTGATAGCATTTATGTATTACAAAAAAGCATTAGACAACTTAAAACATGTACCGCTCAAAGAGCGACTCAAAGAGCGGCTCAAAGAGAAAAAATAGAAATTGATTCCAAATATGTACGAATAACAGTAAATTGGGAGCAAATAGACCACTTAGTTGATAAGAATTCAGTATCAACGATATAATATAATACAA